ACTTGAAATTTAAAATGTGAAATCAACTAAGTGATGTAATTTAACAAAATTGGAACATCCAAAACGTCGCAACAAATTATAAATTATAAAAGTTATCAACTTGAAATTTAAAAATGTGAAATCAACTAGGTGATGCAATTTAACAAAATTGGAACATCCAAAACATCGCAACAAGTTATAAATTTTTAAAGTTATCAACTTGAAATTGAAAATATGAAATCAACTAAGTGATACAATTTAACAAGATTGGAACATCCAAAACATCGCAACAAGTTATAAATTCTCAAAGTTATTAACTTGAAATTTAAAATGCGAAATCAACTAAGGGTGGAAATACTTGGACATCAAATCGGATCAAATCGACACGTAGTGATTTTCGGGTTGCTATCCCGCCGGTTACTAACCAAGTTCGCACGTGATTGTAGGGGAAACTCTTATCCCCTGTACTAGAGCCAAACCCTAACTGTAGTCATACAAACGACATCCCAAGTTTCCAAAATCGATAAATTATGCAACAAGTGTATATACATATATAAATTTTGGAAACACACAATATATGCCTTAAGTCATCAAGTTATAATGGCATACAAAATGTCGAATTTTCAATGTGCGATTTGTTACACGTACAAGGCATATAAATGTCGAATCTTGAATGTTCGATTTGTTACACACACAAAGCAAGTTAAATTGAATCTTCAATGTGCGATTCGTTACACGTATAACAATATTATCTAATATTGAAAACATATTCCTATGAATATACAACGAGTCCAATTTCATGATTTAAGCATATAAACAATTCTAAATGCATGATTAAATCAAGGGTTAAGTGCATTAAACCCCCCTCAACTATGAGCCAATTGCAAGAAACCCCCCTAAATTAAAAAATATCCCCTCAACTATAAAAGTGATGCACTTCACCCTACGTTATCAAACAAATGTTAACCAAAAAATAAAATTCCTATTTTGCCCATTAATTAAACGATGCCATATCAATATATATCCAACTTCAATTGTTGATGTGGCCATTGTAATCTCCCTATCCAATGAAAATTTGACAAGTCATCCTATCATCAATAATTACTTATGCGAACAAACACACCTCTTTCTCCTCTAGCAAACCCTAACGCCGCCCCCCACCATCTCCATCTGTATCTACACCATCGTTCCCCTCTCCCCACCACCCCTTTTCTTCTTTCTCATTATCTCTCTGTCACACCTCAAAGCTAAATCGTCAATCTATTGTTCTACAAATTCAATCAAAATACACCACAATTGAAACACTGGTCGGTCTTATGGTTTTTTGCTGAAATCATAAACAAAAGTTGCCGCTCGACAAACCAGTATAGAGGTGGATGACTTATTCGACAGTGGCAGTGGAGATGAGGACTAGGGCCTTGAAGCACGTGAAAAAAAAGGAATTGTTGAATCGGTTCTCAATCTTTACTTCATCAATGTGTGGATTCAGTATAGGCTTTCTATGTAATTATATTTACTCTTGGACACTAATCAAAATATGAAGATTTAGAGGGTGGGGATTGGTTGATGTTAGTGATTAGAAAAAGAAAATATGGAGATTGATTAAGGCAGGAGATCAGAGAGATAGAAAGAGAGACAGAGGGAAGAAGTGAAAAATGATTTTAGGCTTGGTACTTTCATTTTTTAACTGGATTAACCCGTTACGTGTTGTCGCCGATCACCAAACCAACCCAATCCCAATTACCCAAAAAATTAGTGTTATTCTTTCAATTAATTACCCTCCAAACATCGACCTTTGCAACAAAACAATTTTTTTGTTCAAGGATTTTCCACCTTTTCGTTGTTCTAGTTGTCACCGGGGTTGAAGGTTAAAAAGAGAGAAAAAAAAAAAAGGGAGGTGGTTTGGAGAGAGAGGGGGGGGGGGGGGGTGGCGGCGGTTGTTGACGGTGGAAGTGGTTGTGAGAAAGCGGTGGCAGTGGCAGCGACAGCCATGGACGGACAGTGGAGTTGTTGTCCATGGCTGAATAGGTGGTTCGAAAGGGGGCAGAGAGAGATTTGGAACACGCGCGTGTGTATATATAATATTCATTTAATAACCTTAAGGTTATTTTTGTCTTTCTGAATTTTTGCCTAGTCAAGTGTTTTTTTTCCGTTAGATTTCAAACGGCTAACTAACATTTTACAACAATATTCAAGGGGGTTTAATGCACTTAACCATTAAATCAATAGGACAATTAAATAGAATTTAATCAAATAAATTAATTAAATTCTCTAGATTTAAAACATATTCACATGCATATATCATAAGTCCAAATTCCTTATTTAAGCATGCAAACAACATCAAATACATGATTAAATCATTGGAACAATTAAATAGAAATTTATTAAAACATTTAATTAATTTCTCTAGATTTCAAAACTCGTCTAAATAATTTCAAATAAATACATGTTAAAGATCATGTCATGCTCATTACACATATCAAGCCAAATACCTAATTAAATCATTGGAACCATTAAATAAAAATTAATTAATTCATTTAATTAAAATCTCTAGATTTCAAAACTCATCTAAATGATTCCAAATTAATATATGTCAAAGATCATGCCATAGTCATTACATATATCAAGTCTAAAGTGAATTTCATGCAAGGTACACTTATATTCAATTTCTAAAATTTATATAAGACATGCGCACAAGTCACATAAACCCTCAAAACACATAAAACACTAAGGGCCTATTTAGTAACATGAATTAATTCATACTTTCTACTGTCAATTCTGAAAAAGCAAAAATAAAAGTAAAATTACGTTTATTAAATTACTTTCACTTTTTTATTTTGAGGAAGTAATTCCTAAATTTGTGAAAAAAAGAGAAAGTGAGAAAATCTCACTTTCTCTACTTCTTGTACTGTGCGGAGGAAGTAATTTCGACATTGTAGCGCTAAACACTGTATCGCTAACTTTTTAAAACCTAAAACCCGTCCTCGTTTATATCATCATCGCAACATCACAACCCTAGCCTCTCGCCCTCATATATGCTTCAGGAAACTTCTACCAGGGCGATCATTATCCTTTATCTGCGAGCGTCGATCGGCAACGAAAACTCAACGGTTGACCAACAACACCACCTGTAAGTTTGCCCTCTCTTCTCAGATTCTCCCTTGTCTCAGATTCTCTTTCTTCTCAGATTCTCTCTCTCCTCGTATATGAAGATTTTGCCCTAGAATCTGCAATTTCTCTTCCTGAATCATTTTATGAGTGAAATATCTATATTTCCCTTTATATTTATTAGATCTACAAGCATTTTGACAATTGCGGAATAAATTCATGGAGTTCAGATGTCTTTCCAGCCCTTTTTATATGAATGATATTATCTAGGTGTAGAAGTGAGAAGCACCAGTGATCCTTGGGCAATTCGAAATAAATCCATAGTTTGTATGGATGTTAGTTTATCAATCTCTTTTTATTTTATTTTTTTCACCCATTTCATATGCTTATGCCAGTGTAAAAGTTTAAATTTTATTTATCTATTTATTTATTTTTTAAAAAAAAGAGAGATTGGGGATTTGCTATGCCGAGTTAAAGCATTGAGAGGAATATCTATTAACCATGATCCCCTTGAAGAAATAGATGAGATGTCAGTGCAAAAAAAAATAGATAAGTACTAATTTGGACTTGGCGCGAAACAGAAATCGCCAAACAAAGATTATATAACATATGTCATTAGAATTGGCAAATAGTGATATAAGAGATTTGGTCTATCCACCTATGTTAGCTAGGGTATAAGAGCATAATAACCATTTTTTAGACCATTCATTTGTTGCCCCTGTTTTTGAATGGCTAAAGTTTATAAGATAGTTCATTGTTAGAAAACCAAATAAATTCTGTAATGCCATTTTCAACAATGTAGTTAAATTGAGTTGATAGCCAATACCAATCTATAAACCACATCATTTAGACTGTATCTGATACGTGATGCACTGAAAGTCTGTTCAATTGTAATTCATGTGCCATTTTAGCCAAGTAGATACTTTTAGTAATAACATTTTATGCATCTCATGTTTCATTGCATCAGATTTACCATTATGGATCCATTTTGTTTGTCTACTTTAATTGATGATGATGAAGAAGATGAAGAGGAGGAAATGGGGGTGTGTTTGTTGTTTATTTACATGGTCAAAGAGTACATGGAACATTATATGTTTCCACCAAGACCTTGTATGACTTCTATGCTTCAAGGCCATAACTATATACTTGAACTAGTAAATGGCTACCATATTAGGTGTTATCGACTCTTTAAGATGGATAAATATGTATTTAGAAATTTATATGAACGGTTAAAGGGATTGGGCTTCGAAGATTCTAAGTACTTAACTGTACAAGAACAAGTTGCAATGTTCTTGTATGCTCTAGCACACAATGAGAGTATTCGAGTGGTGGCAGAAAGATATCAACATTTTATGGGGACTATGCATAAATTTTTCCACCGAGTTTTAAAGTATGTTTGCAAATTAGGGAAGAGTATAATATGTCCACCAAATATGTATAGGTACCCCTTGGAGATTCAACATAATGAGAAATACTTTTCATTCTTTTAGGTAGTTTTTTTATTAATATTTTTACTTAATTAATTGGTATTGTGAATTTATATTTACTAACAAAATAATGTGTTGTAGAATTGCATTGGTGCAATTGATGGTACACACATCCATGTAAATGTCCCAGCATCTTCACAAATTCCTTATCGTGGAAGGAAATTAAACACAACACAAAATGTAATGGCTATTTGTTCTTTCGACATGAAATTTACATATGTGGTGGCAGGTTGGGAAGGCTCCGCGAATGACTCAAGAGTATTATTGGAAATTATTTTTGATCCTACAATGAATTTTTCGTTGCCACCTGAAGGTATTAAATTAAGATATCATATGTTTAAGATATCATATTAAATTAGAAAAAAAAATTAATTATTTTTTGTTTATGCAAGTAAGTATTATCTTGTGGATTTTGAGTACACCAATATGAGGTACTTCTTCGCACCTTATCGTGGTGAAAGATATCATTTACAGGAATATAGGGGGAGACAAATAAGGGGTCCTCATGAACTATTCAACTATAGGCATTCGTCACTGAGAAATATGATAGAACGTTGTTTTGGTATATTAAAAATGCGTTGGCCAATCTTTAAGTTGATGCCTCCTTACAAATTGAGTGTACAAGCACTCATTGTTATTGCTTGTTGCACATTACATAATTTTATTCGTGACGAAGCCCGTTTAGATCGTTTTTTTGATGAATATGGGGATGAGAATGCCAATCTTCAAGAAGAAGAAGAAGAAGAAGAAGTTGAGCTAGGTGGTACTTCTCAGAGAGTAAATGTTACACATGAGCTAATTCAAGAAATGAGTGAAACTCGTGATGTAGTTGCAAATGAGTTGTGGGACAACTATCGTGATAGATAAATCACTTTTATTTGCTCATTATAATATTGTCACTTTTATTAGGATTATTTTTCTATTTGGATATCGTAATATTGTCACTTTTATTAGGATTAATTTTCTATTTGGATATTGTAATATTGTCACTTTTACTTGGATTAATTTTCTATTTGGATATTGCAATATTGTTACTTTTATTTGGATTAATTTTGTATCTAAATGCCATTTGGATTCATGTTATAATCTGCATGCTTTTGATATTATGTGTATACTGGCCGAAAAATTAGAGTTGTGTTTCACTTGTTACTATACTAATATAACCAACACTTTGAATTCTGGCAAAATTGAGTAATCATGTTTTTTTTTTTTTTTTTTTGAGAAATATAAAATATCTAAGGAAAAAGCATTTTGAAGCTTATAAACTCCAATAGTCAGCCATTTTGCTGCTATAGGAGACAACACTTTTGAAATAGGATCTGAGTCTCCATTCGACTGCACTTTCTCTTTTGAATTCCATATGTCTAGAAGTGATGGTGGTGCTAATCTTGGGTATACTTGCAATTCTGTGAGTGTAATAGATGCACTATGCCTAGTTATCACGCAAATAAGTAAAATGCCATTGCCCAATATTGGTTCTCAACTTCCATTAATTGAGGATGATAGGAGTGGATTGGGTACAACCTAACTTTTGGCCAATATCCTTCACGGAACCAAGTTGGTTCCTCAAAATTTTGTTAATTTAAGGAGATTATTTGACTTATTAGTAACCGTTTGGGTTTTTTGTTCTTCATATTTGTTTTTCTCATTAGTATTCTGATGAAAATTTTTTAGGGACTTGCAGTGTTCATGTGTACATTGTTTTCAGAACAGAGCAGTCTGCCCAGGCTTCTTTGGATCATAATATGGCCGTGGTATGTTGTTTTCTGATATTTGATATTCGCCTAATTCAAGAACCAAAAGTAAAGACAAAAATTTATTATTTTTTACTAAAAACCCTTTATGTGTTTTGCTTTCAAATTTCAAAAGTAGACCGCAATTTACTAAACACTCTTTCTGTGTTTTGCTTTCAAATTTCAAAAGTAGCTCGTAGTTTACTAAACATAATTTTACTTTCTGTTTCATCTTAGAGAAATCAAAATCATGATTTTACCTTTCGAGAAAGCGAAAGTAAGAAAGTAAAAGCGTTAGTAAACAGGCCCTAAGAGTATAAACATGAAAACATCCATTACCTCAATTCGAGATGAAATCTCAAATGACACCAAAACGGAACCTTTTCGAATCCGACGATACTTCAGGGATATGACGGGGACAACGAGGGGAACAACAAACCCTCTTGCGGCAACATCAAAATCCAAATCCAAATTTAAAAATGGCCAAAACCGGATTTTAGTTGGATGGAAATGAAGGCCTCGTCAAGGGCGACGATACAGCCTTCATTGGTGAGGGAAAAATCAAAGGGTAAAGGGTTCAAAAAGAGAAAAGAAGGGAGAAGGAAGAAGAAGGGGTGGGGCGGCAACCATGGGAGGAGAGGAGAAAAATATGATTTTTCTCTTTCCTACCCCCTATTTATAAAAATCCCAAAAAGTCCCCCGAACAGGCCTCGCACGGCCCCGAAAAGTGAAAACTATCCAAATGCGCTCAAACGGAAAAACACTGTGAACGAAAAAGAACTAACATGAGAAAAAATGAACAACAAAAGAAACATCGTCGAAAACCGAGTCCTGAGCAGAAAGATATGCCTTGAGCAAGTTTGGCAACAACCGTGGTCAAAAATTGGGGAAAATGACTGAAAGACAATTTTAAGAATATGCGACTCGACAAAATGTGAAAATGAATCCCGTACGAGGATTCAAGTCCAAAACAGGATACTTGGCATTAACTTTCGTTAATTGCACAAAGGCCCTTCCACAAAAAGATAACTGCGCAAATGACTCAAAATGAAAATATCTTCCAAAAGATACTTTCTTAAAAACCACCGAAATAAAATATTTTCAAAAGATATTTATGAAAAACATCTCAATAAAATAAAATGTTTTCGAATAAACTCTACATCCATACCTCTACAGACACAGTGAACAACTAGCGTGCTTTTCCATAAAAGTAAAGACACGCATTTCATGGAAACCAAATGGAATGAAGGTATGTAAAGTTGGAAATCAAATCCGAGCATAAAAAGTGAGGTTACGCAAAAGGAAACGATAAATGAAAAAAAGATGAAAAAGAAACTGTTGAAAAAAGTGAGGAAATGACACGGTCCTCATAAAGCAAAGCAAAATCTCAAAAGAGAAGAGTGTCGGAGGCTATTTCCGAGCACTCAAGACAACATGAAGGAACAAAGCTTGAACTCAGAAAAGAAAATATCAACGGAAAAAAAAAAAATCCGTAAAAATGGAAAAAAAGAAAGCAAGAAAAATGACAGAGTCGTTACAACCTACCCTCCTTAAAGAAATTTCGTCCCCGAAATCAGGAACATACCTAGGAGAACTGAATTAGGATCGAACACATGGTCACACCAAAGAATAGATCCTATAATGCTAAAGGACAACTCCAAAAGTCTCAAAATCAAAAGGAGGAACGCGAAACCACGAACCGGAGACAACTCCCCGAACGAATCGACATATTAACCCAATGTCAATCATTGAAAGAATCCCAAGACAACGACATGTCGAATCAAGACAAATGACAAAGAACGACATGACAGTACGAACAATGACTAGAACCCGGCCACAATGTACTCAAATGTGTGGTAGCAATGACAGAGTCTAGTGCTCACCCACATTTACTCGTGAGAAACCAAGCTGGAAGATATTAAAACTCACTCATCTTATTTTATTTTTATAGAAAACAAGAACCCTTCCAACTAGTAAACCTTGGTTACGAGATATACCCACAAATCACACATGCTATTCAAACTCGGGTGTTTTGTGCCTTGTGATAGTCAAACTAAGGACATCTTAGTTTGCCCCTTGAGATCCCTTAACCATTGAGCCACCCGTGTACGTTATTAATGTTGGGAAACGTGCAAGTTTTTAAAACTTTTTGAGGGATTTGCAATCATAGATCTTGATTCATTACATGGAGACAAGTTTTATGCAAAGATAAATAAAAGATGATGCATAATTCAATAAACAGATTGAATACTTACATCAAAGGTCTGAGTAAACCTTTTGAACTTTCCTCTAAAGTGAATGTTCTCACTTATTGTAGATCCCTTTAGCAAGATCCTTTCTCCTTCCGTTCGATTATTATCTTCCCTTTAGGAATCACCAATATGCCTTGATGAATGACCTTGGAATCTAGGCTGGTGGTAGCCTCCTTTAGAAGAGAAAACAAAACCCTAAAATCTAGAGAGAGAAAGTGTATTCCTTTTTCTTGTTCTCCAAGTCACACCTAAAATATACATGAACTCATGTATATATAGGCAAAATAAAAATAAGAATAAGGAAACAATAAATCATTCTCTATCTTTAATTCAACTTTCTCAATCCTAACATGACTCCAATATCAACTTGGGCTATTGGTGAGAATCTTTTTGGGCTTACTATTTTTTTGGCTCCTATAAATTAATAATTGGTCCGGTCCATTAAACCATAGACCCAATTCAATTAATTCATAAATTAATTTCTACTCCACTAAAAGAAATTAATTACACTCCAATTAAATAGTAAATAACCTCTAAGTCAATGTTGCATTTTGACCCCTCTATGCTTAATTATTTATCGGATAATTAAAGCCATCAATCCGACAACATAATTAATATAACTATTTTGTTACCTTTGATTATTTCCGGCTCGATCACAATAAAATATTTATTTGACAAAAATAATAATAATTTATTAAATAAATATATATAGAAAACATTTGTCTAAAACATACGAAGGCCTTCAAATTTAATTTGTGATCAACCATAATCAAAACAAAATAAATACAAATAGCACTGATGCAAATATTGAGAATATAGACCTCTAATTATTAATTACATAACTACCCAAAGTGTCGATCTAAGGATCCCGAGGTATCCGCCGAACAAATCAAAGTAATTATTAATTAATAAAAGAGTCTATACTTCTCTCATGCTTGAGAGTCAAAAACCATGGCTGTGATAGAGAGCAATTGCATACGACAGCTCTCGCAATATATTTCAATCTATCGTGGACTCGGTTTAAGTCTTAACTAATTAAATGCCCATCCATAATTACCGACTTTAAACCATTTATGATTACTAATTTATATCATAGTATTAATTGCCATTACATACATATATAAATATATTTTGTAATCAAGCAGACACCATCAATTCCATAAAGAATCGAAAAATAATACATTCCATTCACCAATTGTATAATACTTTAATAATAATATCCAAATAAGAAACCATGACTTTTACAATCCAAAATTAGAATTTGCTATGTTAGGGCACACATATCCTAACAATTAATTCATTAGTGTAGTGGTAATGACTTGTGTGAACCGAAAAAAACATCCTAAGATCACGTTTGAAATATCGAATGACCCTTCCTTTCAAAATAGAAGGTAACAATTGAAAAAATAGGCAAACATTTCACTGTGTACAACTTGTGCCCTGCTTCATAATTACCGATATCTAATTGTGCTTAAAACCACAATGAGTCCAGTTGCAGCCTAGCTGAAAATTGAGCATGCTATGCAAATCAGAAATAAGGGGGAAATATATATATATATCTATATTCACTCAGAAAACATGAGAAACAAGGAAAATAAGGGAAATAATTAAAACATTTATTACCCAAGAAGTGTCAAGTGTGAATTGCTTTATTAACAATGCATTATGATGTTTCTGGTTTAATGTGCTGCATTCAAATTAATCACTGTTTCTCTCAAATCAGCAGTCCAAATGACCTGAAATTTGACATGGGCAACATACAATAATAAGTCTAGTTTAAAACCCAATTGAAATCATCTGAAAATTCAATGTACAACTCAAGTTAAGACACACAAGTCAGATTATGAACATGTACCTTTCTAACCATACAAGTCTCCTAAATCAATTAGTTCTAAATATCAACCGCACACAGGAAAATGTTTATGAACATCGTTTAACATGTCAATGTGGGTACACAACCTGTTTTCTCCTCTAAAATTAAGGGAATATAAGCAACATATCAATTATTTCATCCCAACTTTTAAATGCCAATAAAATGAACCAACCTCCCCATCTTCAAGCATAGGAAATGAAAGCTAACATGTTCCACCTACTTGTACAATTCTTGTCAAACACATAACATTCTACTCCCCTTAAAATAGATTTCTGTCCTCAAAATTTTAATTTATTGCAATCATATTATAGTCAAAAGCCAAATCACTGATAATTTCCCTTCTTGTCTATCTTCCTTCCGTCGTTGTCAACACAATTCTTTTGTTTTTAAATCAAATCTTTTGTTTGACTTATATACAACGTAAAAATTTAACTAGGATACTCCTTTACAATGCAACAAGTAATTGTTAAGAATATTATCTAAACAAGATGTCAATATGCACAACAATATATACACGTTTACGCACCTTCAAAAATAGAACACACTATAAATACATTTATACTATCTATTTCTTTTTTTTTTTTTTTTTTTTCTTTTCGTACGATTTCTCACAATTATTATTATTATTTTACCTTTATATGATTAGAGAAGGAAAGAAAATTATTTATTTGTCCGTTACATAAGGAAAAAGAGGGAGAAAACAACGGAGAGAAACATGGTTATAATACGAGTAGTAACTTAATAAATAAAGCATATTTATATATATATACAAATTCATATTTTTAAAAAATAATATTTAATTTCTTTCATTTTCTTCTACTTTAGTCTCACCGCACTCAAGAAATTGTAATAGGAGGCGGTTCGACAGGAAGCTTTTGAAATCGCAGGGCATACACGGTATAGTTCTTCTTCCCTCTCTCACCCAAAACCCGACCTTGTCTCTCTCATCATCGTCAACCCTCTCACGACCGGCGACGAATTTCGGCGACAACCGACAACCGACAACTCAACTCGGGTAAGCGTTCTCTCACTCTCTTCTCAGATATGTTCTTCTCGCTCTATATCTCTTATTTTCTTCGCTCACTCTCAAATCTGAACTCGATGTACTAATTATTGTTGGAAAAGAGCTTTGGATTGCAATCTTCTTTTCTCTCAGAATCAAATATGTTTCTTAATTAAAGGAAAATTGTAATTGTAATTGGAGAAAGAGAAAATAGATAGTGGAGCATGCTGTTGCTAGGTTACATATGAATTTGATTTTTCTGATTACTATAGTTTTATGCTTAAATTTTAAGCGTCTTATGTAGTTAGCTGTATTGTAGATCATATGTACTAAGAATATGCATAGTTGCATACCAAATTATTACATTTTTTTTTTTTTTTTTGATAACTTATTCGGAGTTGTTACTTTAGCGGATGATATGCAAGGATTTTAATTAATTTATTTTTTCTCACTTTTTATAAAGGAATTTTTCCCTTAATATTTTGTTTTCTGTTGAATTCGTGAACTGCAAAGTTAGTTAGAAGAGTAAAATGTATTGTAGAGTAAAAGTTTCATACCGAAATGTGCCATTTGCTTTTATGCTCTGTTTGGTCGAAGTGATGAAAATGGAGAGGGAAATGGATGGATGGAAGTGATGAATTTTATCCTTTTGTTTGTTGGATTGGTTGGATGAAAGGGAAATAAATAGATGCTATTATTGTTATTTCACTAATATACCAATAAATATATAAATTAGTTGGACTTTTCAAATTTATCTAATTTTTTTTATTATTTTTTTCTCTCTTCTTCCTCCTACTTATGGATGGAAGCAAAATGGTGGGTCAGGAGGGAAGGGATGGCTCATACCTCAATCCTCCCCTTACCTGCAGCTCTCCCTCTTACCAAACAAGGGAGACTCGTTCCATCCTTCCTCTCTCCCTCATCCATCTGTCCTACCAAACAAGGCATTAGGTATATGGAAAATCCTGCTTTGCTCGGCCAATAAACTTGTATTTTCACTTTATGATATTAGCTTTAGTAGTCTCTGTGTGCTCAGATACCTCTTAAGTTGTATGCAAGCTTTCAACTTGCAGTTTAAGAATCGATTAGAATCATCAGATTAAAAATCTTATTAGGTAAATGGTAGGATTGTTTTATATATAGTTCCTTTCTGAATGAACATCTCTTTTTTTATCTTTTCACTTCCCCAGCATTTTGGCAAGATCAGTTAAGCTTCTTTTGAAGATCTCTTGTGATAAGTTGAAAAGAATGATTTCATGTTATGATTTTCCATTCCATGAACATTAATTTGACATGTGATATAGTGAATCCAGTATTAGAGCATTTTCTTATTAATATATGATAACTCTACTTTCTGCTTCCACTCAAAAAGCAAAAACACTGATTCTGTTTTCTGGAGAAAGCAATGGCACGAAGCAAAATCGTTACTAAATGCCCCCTTAGCCTTTCCCATATATCTATAATTTAATTTAATTTGATAAGGATGGCATTGCACTAGAATAGGAAATTAGATAAGGTTACATAACCTTGTAACCGAACAAGGTAGTTGTCTATTTTTTTTAGACAGACAGAAGTGAATGAATTAGGGATCTTGGTTACTGCTGGGGAAGAGAAGAGAAAGACTCCTTTTTTCAATTGTCTTGAAAAATTCAATTGACAGTCGAGTTTACTTCTCAAATTTTCAGAATTATTCTTTTTGTATTGATATTCAAACACAATGAAGCCTTTAGTTCAGGCAAGGAAGCATGGATACTTTCCCAAGGGCCAGTGGCCATATTGGACACGTGTCCGATACTCTTGTGAAGTATTCAATTTTTTTTAATAAATATTTATTTTAATATCAGATACATCTAGGATACGCGGGGATACGTTTAGGATCCGTATGGACACTTTTCAGATACGTCTAGGTAAATTTGTAATTTTTTGTTCTAAAAAGCGGGGAATATTCTAATATTAGAAAGTTCATAGGTAAATAAGTGGGGGTCAGATTGTAATAAAACAAAAGGGCTTAAAAAGCCCAAATCGATTGTTGTGATATCGCAGAAAAGAGAGAGAGAGAGAGAAGAAGAAAAGAAGAAGAAAGAGGAGCGAGTTCCGTGACGGCCTCTATAGACAGGTGTGATGTGGGCAGGTGCGAGACGAGCTACCACATTGGCAAATTACAGGGTGTCGTAATCTCACATCGCCTAGGGAAGGTGACGTGCTATATGTAAGGTTCAATACCCTTCTATGACACAACGCGTTTTAAAGTCGTGATGGCCGTGAACCTACCAGAACTCCGTCGTTAAGTTGCTTAACCTGTTGTAGTATCAGGATGGGTGACTTCTTAGGAAGTTTCTGGTCTGGGGGAGCCAAAAGTGGACAGTATTGTGTCTGGATAGTATGAGGGTTGTTACAAATGGTATCAGAGCCGGAGCTCAGTCGGAAGTGTAGCCAACGAGGACGTTGGGTCCCCACGGCGGTGATTTTGATGGCCTCTGTGGGTGGGTGTGATGTGGGCGGGTGCGAGATACTGGACGAGTTACCACACTAGCAGGTTATAGGGTGTCATAATCCCACATCGCTTGGGGAAAGTGACGTGCTATATGTAAGGTTCAACACCCTTCTATGACATGACGCGTTTAAAAGCCGTGATGGTCGTAAACCTATCAGAACTCCGTAGTTAAGCCTGGAGTAGTATTAGGATGGGTGACCCCCTGAGAAGTCTCTGGTTCGGGGGAGCAAAAAACGGACAGTATTGTGTCTGGATAGGGTGAGGGTTGTTATAAGTGATCAGCAAGAAGGCAGTTCCAATGATTCTCATCCATCTGGTACATATTTTTTTGGTCTTTCAAATTCTAGGGTTAGGGTTTTTCTTCTCCTACCTTTTTCCTATTCAGCTTAGGGTTAGGACTTTTCTTCGCCTACCTTTTTCCTATTCAGTTTAGGGTTAGGACTTTTCTTCGCCTACTATTCAATCTCGAATTTGAACTAGGTTTTGAATAATTTTTAACTTGGGTGAAGATTAATATATATACATATTAGTGTTTTTGATTGTCTGTTTGTGTTATTGATTTTTTTATTTATTCTCATCTTTCTGATCTTAGGAAAATGGCCACGAACATGTATAGATATACACACACACATACACGGCTGTTTCTATTTTTGATAAATAATTATATTTTTATTTAAAAAACATTACTTAATTTTTATTGCTCTTTCCCGCCGTACCCATATCCTTTTATTTTATTTTATTTTTTTAAATTTGAGATTTGCCATATCGCCATATCAGTGTGATGTGTACCCATATCCAGGCTTCCTAGTATTCAGGTTCTGCATTTGTTTTACCTTCTTCTTTTTGTTTTTTTTGGTATTCATTGCAAAATTGTTATGACTACTAGACAATTATGCGAGCATAAATTATTGATTAGTTCTTTTTCCCTATATTTTTTTTAGATGAGGTTGAAAAAGCAGAAGCGCCATCGCAAGAGTGTCAGATTTTACACAGCTTGCTTTGGCTTCCGAGAGCCCTTCAAGGTTCTATGTGATGGAACTTTTGTACATCACCTTCTTGTCAATCGTATCACTCCAGCTGATACCGCCCTCACAAATATACTGAGTGCTGAAGTCAAAATCTTTACCACCAGGTTAGCCGGTTTTCTTTTGTTATACTTCTGTGAATGTTCAATTACAGGATCTGCTCCTTTCTAGTTTGCGAGAAAATCATCCCCCCTTCTTCTTGGAGTAAACTTTCTTTGCCCATTTTTTTTTCGCTTTTTATTTATTTATTTTTTGGGTTTTAGATGTGTTCTTGCAGAATTAAATAGCCTTGGTGACTCCTATTCTGAATCTCTTAAGGCAGCTAGGAAACTCATGATCGCAAGGTCAGCCCTTTTCCTTGCTCAATTTTGTTAAGCAGAACACAACAGAAGAATCTGTATGGGTGACTAAAACCTACTCTTATAATTATTTGGTCTTTTCTGTTCACGATTCTAATTTCTAGTCTTGTAAATGATGAAAATCATTCTTAGATGTGACCATGAGAGGAGGAAGAGTGCTGTGGCTTGCATAATGGAAGTTATTGGAGAAATCAACACTGAGCACTTTTTTGTTGCTACTCAGGATGCTGATTTACGGAAGAAGTTCCAGGAGGTTTGTGTTTTTTTTTTGCATTGCTGTCAGTTATTGCTATTTCACATTATGACATTGGAATTTTAGGTAGATAAAACCAATCTTTGGTTCCCAAAACCATGGGGCAAATGGATACCGAGACATAAATCTGTTAATAAAATAATAGAAAAGGCTTTTATTTTGTCCACTTAAGTCATATAGGAATTCTCGAGTCCAAGAGTAAAGGACAACAAAGTCTTCAACACGCATAGTAGAGCAACTACTTAGAATAATGAAAGAGATTATAATTGTTGGTAGTGCAAAATTGCATGGATACGATCATCACTGTGTATCTTGATTAACTGGATAGTTTATTTGCGGATTCCTATATGAAGCTTTTATTGATGCACCTCTCAGTATTTCTTTCATGATATGGTAAGTTATCTTTCTGAGTAAGAAAGGAAAGACCGTTTCTACATGTTTTGGTTAAATTATTCAGTAAACAAAAATTTCCCTATTAAAATTTCATAGAATCTATATGGCACCAAATAGCATAAGGTTGAAGGTTTAAATTAGTTATGTACTATTAGGCTTTTTTATTTTTAATAGTTGAAAAGATGTATACTTCAACGTTAATTGATTTTTTCGTAATTTGTAAATGGCCTGCTGATCTTGCCCTTCCATTGGGTGGAACTTGTGGAGAACAAAATGTATCTCATGACCACCTTTGTTCTTCAATTACCAGTGGAATATTTGATATTAGTTTCCTGCATTAACCATTTCAAGCAGTGATAGGTTTGTGAATGGTTTATTATCGGAGAGAAGGTGTCAACGTTTAAGTGTCATGTGAAATGTTAGCAAGAACATTTGGCAAGCTGGAAACGAAGCCCAAGAGTGTAGATGCTGAAAATGTTGTTCTGAATTTACATTTATTGCCCCTTTTTGGGAGAAATTTGATTGGAGAATAATAGAGGCTGCATCTTGTTAATATCCGCCTTGATTACATTTACGGTTTCCAGAACAAATGCGCATAGATGTCCAAGGTCTCGTAAAAAATTAGATACTTTGCAATCCCTCTTAAAATTTATAACCACTCTTAAAATTTCCTTCTAAGTTTTGTCAGTTTAGTTGAAGTTATGATGTATCAGTTGATTACATCCTTTAAGGAATTCATGTTATTTGTATAACTCGAGATTCAGGAAAGCATGTTTTCCTTCTGTATCTTTGGCTGTATGAATTGGTAAGGTTTGAATTTGTTGTTAAACATATAATCCAGTAGTCGTGGCCCCGATTTAGTGTATTTGAAGGGATAAGAAGCATAGAGAGATATTCACAAGTTTTTAAAATCACAAGAGGTAAAAAAAGATTAAAGATCAAATTTTCTAGAAGAATTTGGCATCAAGAATAAAAACATTCTTCTTTTAATTTTTTTTTTCTTCATTAAGATAAAGCTGCTTACAACCTTCCACCTTAATTTGGCAAGGGGGAAAAAAATAAATAAAAAGGTACCACATTAATTTAACACCAAATTTTTTTTACCTGTTTTGACAACATATAAAGATGAGTGTAGAAATATAAAGCATAATATCATCCACACACATGAACACCAATTTTTAGGTGGAATGTTTCATAGGGAAAACCATGAGACCTAGTTCGGGCAAATTAAATCTAGTAACTCTAGAATTTAGGTAACCAAACTCTGACCCAAGAATCTCTTAGTTATTTCTGATCTACACACACACTAGAGTGACTAGATGCTCAATCTGGGCTCTTGTTGCTGCCAGTCAATGAATTGTTCCTTGTGTGATTTGCTATTCAATCTGTATATCAATCTCTAATGAACAGTCATGTCCAACCCTTTGTTTGATGTGTAAATGTTGTGGTTGATCAATCTTCAAGTATCCAATGAAGTTCCTTGCTTTTGAACTCAATCACACAATATAACAGGATGTTCTATAAAATAAGGCTCTCAATCCCTTTCACAATTGTGTAGTTGTGTTTCTTATATTTTTCTTACGTTTAGAGACCCCTAGAGCACCTTTTTATAGTGTAGACGAAATTGATTAGGAAAGTCTTGAGTAAGTTTTGAAAGGTTTGAAACCATTTTGGACTTGGAACCACATATTTTACCAATACTAGGCATCCTTTTAGTCGATCTAAAGCAATTTTCTACCAGTCAAAACAGCTACAACAGTGTTTGAGTGATGTTTCAATTGATCAAAGCAACAGTAGTAATTTTTGCTTGATAGTTCATCAATCGAGCTTTTATGCTCTTCATTTAGTGGTCAAACGGTTTAATACATCGTTAGAAAGCTTATGGAGTCTACCTGGATATGTAATGTTTAGCACGAGATTTCAGCTATTTTATTTTAATATTTTTTTAAAACACTAAAGTCAGTTTTAACAACTTCACCAACAGGCCAGTGGCCTAGCGGTACCAGATCCCTACTTCCCAAAGGGAGGTCAGGGGTTCAAGCCTCAATGGAGGTATGTGTGTGTGAGTACCAACTAAGAAAAAAAAAACGTTTTAACAACTTCAATTCCTTACCAAAAATAAAATTTTAACTTAAAACTCAAATTCCAAGCTTTTTGACGAAAAGAAAGTTTCCAAATCCATTCTCAATTGAATAATATTATATTTTAGACTTCTTAACTATATTCAAACTAATTTGAATTAGTTTTAAATTACTCCAAATTAATTCAAGTTTTTCTAATTGATATTAGATCAATGTTAACCAATTCTCACCTGTCCAATTTCTATTAGATCCTTACTGTCCAATTTCTAATGAATGAAGATAACCTTTGTTCCCGTATACATAGTCATTATCTGTTCTTCCATCGTGAGTGGTGAATTAGAATTTTTAATTTTTTTTCCAACTCAATTGTTGAATCAATCACTCCTATTCCTATGGTCTTCTATGCCACTTGCTTCTAAGATAACACGATCTTTCGACTCAGTTTTCAATCTACAATCACAATTTCAATGTTGATGTGAATCTTTTGATGAATTGACATAACACCATAGACGGACAACTTTTACTCATGGAATGTGCCAATGACACTAATTTGTAACAAAAATGAATGATCGGAATGGGTGGGAGTGGGAAGGATTAAACTGGTTTTTGTTTAGCTTTCTAAATGTTTAATTTTGCTACTTAACTTTAGAATCAGGATGCATCACATTATTGCTAACACCTAGCTTTCTATATTATTGCTTGCTTATCCTTAATTGGTGCGTTTCAATGTAGCTTCTTTTGGCGCCACCAGTTACAGACCAGCGTCAATGTGATTAACTCTCTTTTTTTCTAATACTGCAATGCTGGATATTTTAATTTTTGTTATTAGGGCTATGCTTGTAATTTAGTTAGACCCATTTTAGTTGGTCATTACCTGTCACCTACTTGTCAATGAAGTAACTTACTAGGTATATCTCTCAATATAGACCAGGAACTTTTGCAAATATAATTGGGAATCTGAATTGTCTATGATGTCAGTGAAGGTTTTGTTAATTGTTCCATTATAGATGTTCTAGTTTGTGTCTTTGATGGAAAATTTTTTAGGGATGCTTTGTGCTTTAATTTTAACTCCTCAATGAGAGGAAAGTTATACTGATTGTTGCCCCTGCCTAAATTGGTGCTGCTTCTTTGCTCTGCCACACACACACACATATAGAAAAAGAAAAAGCTTCTGTGAATTTGTATGCTAGCATTTTCTGGCTGCAGGTACCAGGTGTTCCTGTGATATTTGGTCTACGAAATGCCCTATTTCTTGAGCCTCCATCTGCTTTTCAACAGCGGTTTGTCAAATGTGCTGAAGAAGAACGATCACACATGACTGAGTTGGAGTATGAGATGTTAAAAATGAAGAAAAAAAAGAGGCTAGCCACCGCGGATGCAGGGGATTCCTTTGATGCAAATGAAGATGTGGTGGATCAGAGTTTAGGGACCCAGGTCGTCAAGGCTAATACCGCGAGAAAGACAATAGCTGTGAAGGACAAAGTTCAGTTTAAGAGAAAGAAAGCTAAGGTTCTTATCCATGATCATGAGTTTTTTTCCGTAATTTCAGTTGACTCGTTAGTTTAGACCTTGATTTTTGTGACTGTTCCAGGGAGATATCTTGTTAGTAAAATTGCAAAAACCTCTCATGTCTTTTCATAAAATGCAAAAAGCCCTCGCATTTCTTTTTTGGCCCTAATTTAGCCGATAGGCTGATTCATTCACTTAAACCTTGATTTAGTTTACTGGTTTATTTTTTTTTTAGCTAAATTCCTCTGACCTCCTCCTCCGAGGCATAGGATATTAGGGGGATCTCTCTTTTGTTTGCAAAATATGGATCCTCCCTTATTTGAAGGTTTGTTTAAAAGATTACCCACATGAAAAGCCGTGAGTTTGATGAACAATTCTTGTTGATACTACGATAGCATCTAACCTTTTCCAAAACGATGACTTTACTCTTACAAAAATCTAACAAAGTTTGTAGAGTTAAATACGTCCTTAATAAAATACTTATAAACTTGAAATGGTAGAAATATTCTTACAAAATTTGACCACATGAAAACCCACCATAAACTTCCTCATTGACTTTTGCTCCATTTCTGGCTACACTTCCCTTCGTTCTGGAGGAGGTTCATCAGTGCTTACGTATACGGCCATCAAAGACCGTCGCCGTCTTCATCACTATCTTCTCCATTTTTTTCTTTATCTTTCTTTTCCTTCTCCCACAATATCCATCTCTATTAATTTCTCCAAAACATCTCTATTAATTTTGTAATAACTTTCACCCTAGCTAGACACAATATTGTCCGCTTTTGGCTCCCCCAGACCAAAGACTTCCCAGGGGGTCACCCATCCTGGTACTACTCTAGGTTAAGCACGCTTAATTCTGGAGTTCTGGTAGGTTCACGGCCATTACGGCTTTAAAATGCGTTGTGTTATAGAAAGGTATTGAATCTACATATAGCACTTGCCTTTTCAAACCCAGGCGATGTGGGATTGTGCACCTATAGCTCTCCTAGTGTGGTAGCCTACTGGTGCCACCTGCACATGGTCACACACACCGGCCCACAAGGTTGCCACAAATTTCTCCAAAACACACTATCTCTGTCGACACCACCTGTTATGAGGCCTAACAAGCATCGCTATTAGAAGTCTCAATTCTGTGAAATAATTGTACTAATGATTACAAAAATCTTCAATAATAGTTGTTCCTAATGAAATAATTGTATCTAATAATGCCCACCACCGTGTAGAGGAGTGCATGGGGAAGTGCTAGTTTATTTTGAAGACATTCAAGTTCTTTAAAGTAGAAAAATGATGGTTGGGTACAACATGCAATGTTAATGTCCATATTCACTGGCTATTGATTCGGTCATGTTTAATATTCACATCTCTTTACCAATATGTGAAGAGTGAAAAAGGTGGATTTAGTTGGAATAATGGACAGATTAGGCGTCAAATCAAAATCTAGTTCAATGTTTTCACATAGCTATTGTCTTTAGTCATTGACTCGTTGCAATGTATTGTGTCGTAATTTTTGCAAATATTTGTTCTCTTTGGGGTGACTTTGCCAATGTTCATAGGTGTCCTGTTTGTCTTCTACTTTGCAGGGTCCGAACCCACTCTCATGTAAGAAGAAGAAGAGTCATGGAAACCCAAATCCTTTTCCGGGAAAGGTGATCTTTGGATTTGTATTTTATCTGAAAGCTTGTACTCTTACCTTCTTTCTGATTTTTATGCCTGGTATTGGTATTAATGGACAACAATTTGATACTTAATGATCCTAATCTTACTTTGGACAATGGTAACAACATCATTCTTCATTCACAGAAGTGGTTGGAACTTTGGAGCCTTGTGGCTTTATGACTGGAGTAGCTCAATGCGTATTGCATTTTTTAAGGCTAGTAACCTCAATTATAGATCACCAAGTATGATGAACAAAATCTTTCCTTGCCATACGAGTCCGTCAACAACTATGCTTCTATAGTTAACTTTTCAGACTTGGTGATACATATAACGAGTTTTTATGCACAAGTTTGTGCTCTCTACACATGATATATACATATATTTTACTTGTCAAAAAATATATATATGTATATATATATATATATATATATATATATTTTGAGAAAAAAATCCCGGGAGATTCTCTGTGCATTTTAATTTTACATTCATCATCATGTTTAGTGTTGGCGAGTGTTCATACATGTGTTGATACATCCCCTACTTCACACTCCAGTTTTTATTTAACACATCCGATCAATCCACAACCATGTTGCCAACTGGACGACTACTGGCTACGACTGATCACTAGAGAAGTAGGCTTGTGAGGGGTGAATGTTGTTGACAAGCAGAAGAATGTCCTGAGACTTTTAAGGGCGACTGAATGTTTGGTCTTCATCTGTACCTAGAGGTAATTAGGGGTTCAAGAGTACTGAACTGTAAGCTAGGTTTGTAAATTTATTTCTCGATAGTAAATTTGGTTTTCCTGGACTAGGTCCCGTGGATTTTTTACCCTCTTTGGTTTTTCCACATAAAAAAGATCAGGGGTTCATATTTACGGTTTCATTGCTTATTTTATGTGGATTGGATGCTTTGTTTATATTGCATGATTTAACATTTTGCTTAGTTTTTTTGCTATAATATAACCATATAATCTGAAATTAATAAAAAGATTTAATTTGTTCTACATTACTAATACACCCCTTCTTTACGTCTAGATAAGAGGACCTTGCGCAAGTCTGCATTAGAGCCTCATGTTCTGGTCTTGTGTTTTTATCAATATATAGAGAAGAATTTTATTTATTATTTTTTATGATTTTAACTTTGGAGAAAACTTGTGATGATGTGGTTTCTAGATATCAATTAGGGCAAGTATAGAATCTTCCATGGATCACTTCAACTAACTTGATTTACATGCCACACAGAAGTTGAGTTTGAAGTAGGGAGTTCTACAGTGACAGAACTAGCATGACCTAATGTATTGCTTTGTTTACATTGTAATGAACGTTAGGTAAAAGACGGAGAATGGTGAGAAAGGAACCAAGGGGCTTAGGTGAAGGTCCTTTCCCCCTTCCTCTGTCTTTGCACTGTACAGTTGTTGGTCCTTTCGTTTTAAAGAAATTTTGTACCCAAATGTACCCTTCAAAATCTGTGCGCGTACTCTTGGGTGGTGGCTTGCAGGGGATTTGTAAGAAATAAAACACTAATTTTTCTTATAATTTAGGTCACAGGTTGTAGAAGTTGACAACATCTAGTGCCTCTTGGTTTGGCCTCTCTTTTCTTTTCTTTTTTTGTTGTGATGCTCGGGGTGGGGGTGGGAGTGGGAGTGGGAGTGGGAGAGTTAGAAGTATCCAAAGGCTATACAATTTTGGCATCATGCTTTTTCCCAGCTAGTTTTTGGTCCTTGTCATCATGCTTTTAAGTTTTTGGTTGCAAGTCTCCTATAATAATTGAATAGGGAAATATGTCAGTGTTGAATATGTGTCTTCTTATCTTTCTTATAAATTATTGCTCTTTATCAGTATATATTCTTTATAGTTGAATTATTTGTCCTGTATTTGAGGCAAAGTGAGTATATGGGTCATCACTGTGCATCTTTTGAAGGACATTTGTTTGGCATGCCAACACTTTTGTCCCCAAAAGTTGGTTAGGGCTTGACGAAGTCAAATGCTTAAATTTCCATGATGTTAGCTCGGAAGTTCTACAGGTTGAGAGTATAAAAAAGGGTTGTGATTATAGCATTTCTCTGAATAATGTTGCTGGTTTATGTTATGGAAACCCTGATTAATAATTTTAAGAACCTGCTAGAACTATTAGCATTTTAGTATTTCTTCTGATCTGCTATAATTCAGAATTCTGTACAGTTTCTATTGTCATCTTTTTGGTGAGATGTGGAAGTTTGAATGCAGGAAAGCGGGGATAGTGATGGAACTGTCAGAAGCAGGAGTAGGAAAAGGAAGAGACCACGCAAGGGCAAAAAGCTTGCAGAGGCAGCTGGTTAACAATATTCAGCATATATGCAAAGCTTCAAAATTTTGATCCCGAGCTAATAGGTAGGCGAGTCTTTACGTTCGGAGTTTGTTGCAGTATTGCTAACCGTATTGCAAGGTGCCATTGTAGTTGCAATCCATTGTTTTCCTAATATGGTAATTGGATCTGTGTGTCGTACTTTTTTCTCCTAGCTTAAAATGTTTTTTTTTGGGGTTAAATTATAAGACACGTGGAAATTTGGATTAAAAGTTGAAATGATGTTCCATTATCCCATTGTTTGCCTCAATATTGCAGTTGGAGACATGTTGCAGAATTTGTATGCGAGTCACCAAACTTGGTTTGTTAAAATTTAGAAATTTGTATGAAAAAAAGAGAGTGAGAAATCGTGTTTTGCTGTATGACTTTGTGACTTTTTCAATATATTAATGTCCTAAACTATTGGACTATTCCTACTAGTTAGGAGTTAAGGCTTTGTTGGGTTGATTTAAAAAATAGAATAAACTGGTATCAGTGAATTTTTTTTTTTCGAAATAGAATGTTGAGCAACTCAGAAGAACACATTGTCCATTCGAGTGTTGTGGCTGAGGTCAGGGTGTTAAAATGGATGAGATGGCAAACTTGGAAAGGTGATCACCAAAGGGCCTATAGCCCAATGGTATAACCTCCCCATCCTCAAAGAGGAGGGGTGGGATTCGAGTCCAGGCGTGGCTGAAGTGTGTGTGAGAACTTGAAACTAAAGAAAAACCGAGGGCTAGAAACTTACCGGAGACGGAGAGAGGAGAGAGAGAATGAAGATCCGATGTGAGAGAAGTCCAAATCCAAGAGCTTGGAGCTTGGAATGAGTAGAGATGAGAGGGAGAGGACTACCACTCCTTTTGGGTGGAGGCCTTATAATACTCATTCGGGGATACTCCACATCCCTGTCTATCCTAAAAAACATCCCCCCTCTTTGTATTCCAACATGGGTGGGCAATTGTTGCTCTTCTGCAAGCTGCTGACGTTGTAGACGGTTTTGATGTCTACGCACGGCTCTCCTCTGCTTACCTGATAAACAAATAAAAAATAAATAAAAGCCTCGGAAAGGTGATCATTGCTTAAGTGCTTAAAAATGCTAGGATTAAGCTTGTTGAGATGTCAAGGAAAATAAGGTCGAGACAATATGGACATGAAGGCTTTAAATTGTGTGATTTAGGCTGAGACACGAGTGAAGTTGGGAAGAAGAGTTGCCAAGTGAAAGTGATTCATCTGCAAAGATTAAATAGGCGTTGGATTTCAGTGTGGTAATTGAATATGTTATTGTTTTTCTTAGGTCACCTGGGTTATTTTTGTCCTTTGATGACATGGGAACCCTCACAACCTTCGGCTCTTTGGTTTTATGGTTGCTAGGTAAACCTCCGGATATGTGTAACCGCCCGCCCACAAGCCACACTTATCAGTTAAATACGGATTTGCTGCCTCAGACAGAGTTGAACACAAGACCTCTTATGTATGGAGCTCCTGTGTCCAGCTCCTGAACCATTGGAGTTAGCCCGTGCGAGCTCCATTCCATTCCAGCAGAATTGCCAAAGTAGATCAATTTTGCAGCAGTTTTGTCTAAAGTGGAGTAATTATGAGTGTTGGTATTGGTCATATTTCGGATTAATATATATCCATATGTCATATGAACATGTGTGTTACACAGAGTTGAAGTAGGAGCAGGAGACCTGCAAATCTAAATTTTGCTTTTGATGGGAGCTCCCCAGTGTGCACATATATATATATATATATATATATATGTAGACCAACCTATAATACTCTGCGCAATGATTAAAACTTTAAAATCCCCAAGTTTGAGGGCTCCGGTTTGTGCTTTTATAGTAGCCACTTCTTTAGGCCAGACACACCGAGGCAATATTTGTACTCTCCTATACTTTTATAATGAAAAAGACATTAGTGTCCCTACCTCCGAATCAAATATTAATAGTATTTTGTCACTTAAATTAGAAAAGGACAGGACAACACAGGGAATGCATTTATCATATATATATATATATATATATATATATATATATATTTTTAATTTTGAAACAACTATGGGTCTGTAATTCCAAACACGTAGTTTAATTTTAGAACAAATATCGGTTTGTTGTATACAAGAAAGTAGTACTACAAGAAATGCTAAAGAGTAACAAGTGTTTACAATATATTTGCTAAAAAAGCTTGTTCAAATAAACCTTTGTTATTATGAATTTTTAATTAATAACAGTATAAATGTTATACGTGGTTGTCTCCCCATTCAATAAATGAATTTAATGAAATGAGTAATTTATCAACTTCTTAAAGTGAAGTGAGAGTTTAAGTTTTCATAGAACAAATGGGTGTATGAATTTTTTCAAAAAAGAAATAAACAAAAAAAATACACAACCAAGTGGCGTGGTGGATATGGGCTTTAGGTCATACTGGGGACTCATCCGAACCACATGCGTGCGGGCCGCCACTGCCTGAATTGATTAAAATGAGTTTTGGTTTTGCTCGAGCCGCCAAGGAGCGTGAGAGCAACAAGAGAGTCACGTGAGACTGCGATATTAATTAGTGTTTGGTACTTGAGAGTAACATTCGAGCATTTCTAATGCAAAATGTTATATTTAGATACTAAATTTATATATTAAGAGAAATTACAGTGTCAAAATACTATATTTCTACAATCTACTCTAATTGTGCATTTTATTCAAAATAGTGCATTTTATTCAAAATGTTATTTTTTGACACAACAACCGTTCCATATTTTAAGCGCCCATTAGAGTGTTTTATTTTCATTTTAGCAACTTTTGACAATCTCAAAATATGAGAGGTCTTTTGAGAGAGCCCATTAGAATGCTTATTTTCATCCAATTGCTATTTTGAGTCTGAGAGGTCATTTGAGAGCTGCTATATTCGAAAATACATTTGAGAATCTCAAAATATGAGAGGTCTTTTGAGAGATCATTGGAGTGTCTTATTTTCATCCACCTGCTATATTTTGAGTTTGAGATTCCATTTGAGAGGTCATTGGAGATGCTCTAAGGGTCCGTTTCATATGTGTTTTGTTTTAGGCGTTAAAGAGAAACAATGTTTTTGTTGTACGAGTGTTTTGGAAAAAAATTCGAATCATGTTTAGGAATGATGTTTTATTGTGGAAATGTCGGAAAGAGAAACATGCACAGTTATGGTTTTGGGCCATGAACAGTTGTCAAAACAAGAAAAAATATTTTTTTGGTGTTTTGGTTTTGGGTCAATCAGGGCCGGCTCGAGTCTTAGGCGAGTTAGGCAGTTGCCTAAGGCCCCGACCAATAAGAAGGCTCCATAATTTTTTATTTCTTTATATATTATAACTTTCCTAAAATAATCATAGGATTCTCTTTAATTATTAAACTTCAACTTATTGATAAATTTCACAATTAACTTAAAAGATTTCTATTCTTTATTTTTTTTGTGAGGGTCCCCAAATTTTTTTTCTTTATATATCATAACTTACCTAAATATTTTATTTTCTTATATCATTAAAAATCAACAAATACAAAATTTAATAGTGTGTGCAAAATATTTCTATCCTTGTATTATCTTCTTCATTTTTTTTTTTTTTTTTTTTTTCTCTCTCATCCTCATTACATCAGCATATATACACATACATTAAAATTAAATATTAAATACAGTATATATTTAAGTGAAAATTGATGAAATTTTCTATATTTTTGTAAGGCTCTTATTAATTTTTATTTTCTTCTTCTTTTTTTTTTTTTTTTCCTCACACACACACACACACACACACACACACACACACACACACATATATATTATTTTCTCCACTGTTACAATTTACAATCTCATTGGAAGAAGATTTTGAATACTCATATATTCTATTAAATAATTTATTGGAACATTAGACCAAATTATTCGAAATCAGTTTTTATTATTCTATAACTTAAATTAGTTTATAGTTTTATTAATTTTTGTTATCATAAAATTATACATTTTGTTTATAATTTTTATTTATATTGTTAAATATGACTATTAGAAAGCACATAACCAATTAATTAATTATGGAATTAGAGTTTGGAAAAATTTTAGTTATAGGATTCAAAATCACTAAACAAATAATTAGCTGGCATAAATATGGATAGATTTAATTAAAAGGCCATTTTATTTTTTTCACCTAAGGCCTCAAATTGTATTGAGCAGCCCCTAGGGCCACTGTTCACAAAGTGTTTTAGCACTGTATAAAATAAAATAAGGTCGCATCAAACAAGCTTTTGTTGTCAAAATCGATATTGTAACAATTCAAAATTAAAAACAATATAAACAAAATGCATGCCAAATGAGACAGGAGGGTCACATGAGACTGCAATATTTAACTCTTTTTCCCAAAAGCATGATTAGAATGACATAAAAGGTCATTTGCCACAATCTGTTGGTCGAGTCTCGTCTCCTTTGCCTTCGACTTGCACTTGTACAAACAAATATTAGTGCAGGCTTGAAGCCCAATTACATGTTGATCTACATGTTATACTCTTCATTTTATTTATTTATTATTATTATTTTTTTCAAAATCTGTATATGCTGTACTTAGGTACAGAAGTGTGGAGGTATTGTTTAAAGGCCTTATTTTGGAACATGAATGTAGTTGTATATGTTTTCTTTACTGATAATACTACATATTAAAACCTACTCCAGCAAGCAAATGATTCCTGTGGTTTCACTAATGCTACATCCAGACTTTTTTTTTTTTTTTTTGCTGTGTGAGAGTTATTGTACGATTTTTGTAATATTTTTACCAATCATCATCATCATCATTCTTGGCTTAATTCCATATGAATGGAGTTGATCTCACGAATTATTTAATTTATTATTTATTTTTTGTTATTATTATTATTTTGTTGAGTGAGTAGAAAGTGGTGAGCAATTGAGAAATAAATTTTTTTGGGACTGCCAGTTCATGCTAAGGATAAAATCGCTGCTAAATTTAATAATTGGTATTGTACTACTTTCTCCTGAGCTGGGAGGGATTTTTTTTTTTTAAATGAAGGATTGTATTTAAATATAAACAATATACTACATGAGAAAATATGAGGGTAAACCCTCACAAAAGAAACAGAAACTCCCCCTTAACAAGGGAACTAAAACATAAGCTTAATCTAAAACACATTATATAATGTCACGACATCAAGAACCTCAAACAAACTACCCTTAGCTAAATCTTGTGACTCTTTAAATTTGTCATTATGCAATCTGTCATTCCTTTCCATGCAAAGGATGTAAAGAGTAGCTGTGAACAATATCCTTGCCATCTTGTTTTTTCCTTTTCCTTGAAATTTCTGACTGAACAGCACTGCCAGCTCTTGAACTTCATAGCATTTCTGCAAATTCCAAGCACAACATTCTGAAATAGTACTCCACACCTTCCATGTGTACTCACAGCTGCAAAACAGGTGGTCCGATGATTCTCATTACGTAAACACAGACAGCACCTAGAAGCTAAAGAAAAACCTTTTTCCTTCATGTAAGACTGAGTAAGAACAACATTCTGCATCACCAAAACTGAGTGTGTAGACCATCTAGGTCTTCCCCCACTCCAGCACAGCCCACACCAGATCACAACCTGAATTTGGATTCTGCAAGCCTCCCAAGCAGCTTTAAAACTGAAAATATCCTTCCATCTCAGAATATCCTCCCCCCAATGAATCATCTGCTTATGAAACACCTGCATCACTTCTTGATTTGTATTCATCAAAGAGTCATCATCCCATTGATCATTTACAATAAATTCATTTAGACAACTCAACTAATTTCTGCTGTGATATCCCAACACCAAGGGTCCAAAAACACATTTATGTTCTGTTCATTCCCAATTCTATATATCTGCAGTTAACTCTGATAATGTCTCGGACTGCAATAATGCTCTTCCATATGGATGAATATATCCTTAGTCACCACATTCCAAAAGGAAGCCTGTTTCAAGTAACACCTCTCAAACCATGCCACCCAAATTCTGTCCTTAGCTGGGAGGGTTGAACTAGTGAGGATTGTTATTTCTTCTTTCTTATATAACTGGACCACAGTCTATAAGCTCCAGTCACTGTTAGGGATTGGATTGAGAAAATAATGAGAGGTTTTGTTTGGGGAGACTCGAATAGTCACAAAAAGATTCACTAGCTTAATGCTTTGTTTGGTAAGAAGGAAGGAAGGAAGGAAGGAAGAGGGGTAAAGAGAAGATAGGAATGAAGAAACAAATTTCCTTTGTTTGGTAGAGAGGAGACAAGGAGAGAAGAGAAAAGAGGATGGATGAGTCATTCTTCATCCAAACATGGACGGAAGACGCGAAAGGAAAAAGATAAGGCTATTATAAAAGTTTTTAAAGTGCAAAACTTTCCTTATAAGTAACACTTTTTCTTTTCTCTCATAACAAACAAAATAGGCTTATTTTTATACCTTATCAGTTGCTAGCCGGGTGCACTCCGACGGTCAAGTTAATACTTGACGATCTAATATCCGATAAGGATTACATATAAAATTTATGGTGTACCTTTTTAGGTTGGCTGATCATTTCTTTTATAGAAGCATTAATGGTAGTAGTTGTTGAAGCGAGATTCTCCCTGATCCAAGATGATATTCTTCCCTTCTTATAGGAATGGTAACTCTGGTTACATATGGTAACCAGATATTTTTTATGATTTCATAGAGATTTTGGATAAGATAAATCCTTTACCCTTATCTTATTTCTCTTTTGACTTTGAGTT